AATAAATATGCATGGTAAAAAGTTTTCATAGTACAATAAATGTTGAGAGTGTATGCTCATAAATTAAGTAATGATACAACAATCAAAACAAGCTTATTGGTTTAAACTTTTTTCATACAAAGACAGAAAATTGAATAACTTCTTATATGATTTTAAAAGACAATAATCAAAGTAAATTGAAAAAAAGATATGAACTCTACTATATTTAAAAACAAATATAAAGTACCAATAGTTCATTGATATTTAGATGATATTTTTACAAATTCTCATAAAATTTTTACAATATTTTGTCATTTAACGCTACAATTTTCAAAGCTTGAAGGTATTAAGTGGAGACTTTTAAAGTGTTGAAGATAAAGGTATGGTGAACTCAAGATTCAGGGGCAAAGCAATGGCAAACCTAAATTTAGGGAGCACAATCGTGTGAATAATCCAAAATTCAATTAAGATTTTATTCTCGCAAAATCCCCACGTGAGCACATGTGCTACTTTTCTATTTAGTTTTGACGAAAAATGAAACGAAGAGGACAAAATGAGAGAAACTCAAAGTTTGAAGTAGTACAATAATAACTTTTAAAATTGAGGCATCAAATGCGAGGAATCTCAAAGTTTAGTGGGCATGAGTGTTAACAACCCTATTTTTAAAAATAAGTTTATGGTAAAACATAGTTATTAATAGTCAAATATATCTTTTATTTGGAAAACACCGGAAAGAACATCACTAATTAGTGAAATTGGTTATAATATGTTACCATCACTAATTGATAATGGAGAATAACGCCGTCACATATTCTTTTTGTTGGGTAGTTACGCTCAGTGTAAGAACGCGTTTAAAAAAAAAAAAAAAAAGAAATCCAAGCTCAAATTGAACGCTCTTGTGAGGCGCGTGGAGCGTGGAATTCTGTTTCCCATAATAAAATAGAAAACTGTGAGAGAGTCCATTGCCAATCGGGCATTGAGTTGTAACCCGTTTTGTCCGGGCTATTGGCCTATGCCATCCCTATTCATCCCTAGCCCTCTGCTTTGATTCCTCGCAATTGATGGCTCTGATAAAGACCTACTCCTTTCCATTACTGTGCCAATTTTGTCCCGACATTACTCCAATTTACCTATCTGCCCTTTTACCGGACAACTTATTGATCTTTAATTGATGTTTTGACATGTACAATTTGCTAATTAAAAACTCCTGTTTTCTTGTTTGTTCGTTTTTTTTTTTTTTTTTTGAGATAGCCTTTTTCTAGTCATGCCTAGTGGCTAAGATTGGTTTTCACTTTCTCTGTTAGACTGTTCCTACGACCACTTTGCTATTTACGGCTTCACATAATTATGCAGTTCAACGGTGTATTTATGGCTCTGACATGTAAATTTTGTTTGCTTTTAATTATTGGATGATTATTGTTTTCTCTTTTTTCTCGTATGAATACTAAATGAGAACAACAACCTAACGAATCCGATACAGTTTAACTTTTATCATGCAAGTGGCTTCAACAATTAACGTTTTTTTGGACCTACCTACAAGTGACTTCCACTTGTGATTCTTTTTTTTTTTTTTAATGTAAGTTTGAATTTATGATGTTTTAGTTATTTTTAAAAATTAAGTTATTTTGTACAAACACCTTCTAAACTTTTTGAATTTAATAATTTAGGGTCCGTTCACTTTGCTGATTCGAGTTTGTAATTCGAGTTGAGATGTGATTTTATGTGAGAGCTTTTTACTGTAGCAAAAAAATTAGATGTGATTATTTGTGAGAGCTTTTTATTGTAGCAAAACTCGAATTCTAAACTCGAATTGGTGAAGTGAACGGGGCCTTAGCCTTTAAACCTTTTTTCTTGGTAATCAACACCCTGAATTTATAATTTTTGGCACTTTCAACCCGTGTTGCTCAAATTTATTAAAATTTTGACGGTTTTTAACACTTAACTTAGAAATGATAGTCTAATAAAGGCATTGATGTTCATTTTTGTTTAGTTTCAATACAAATACATTTAAAAACTTAAACTTAATATAATTATAACTTAAACTTTAATCTAAATTTTAACATGAAATTTATTAATACCAGACAAAAATATCATCAATGCGATTCTTAGGCTGTCACTTGTAAGTTTGGCACAAAAAACCATCAAATTTTTAACAAATTTGAGCAACATGACTAAAAGTGCAAAAAATTAAAGTTCTGGGAGTTGATTATCAAGAAAAAAAGTTCAATGACCAAATTGTCAAATTTAAAAAGTTCAGGAGGTGTTGATACAAAATAGCCTAAAAATTATACCAAAAAATTTATTTTGAAAAATAATTCCAAATGTAAATAGTTTCAAAAACAAATATTAGCTGGTATATGTTGGATTTTAATTCATTTTTACAAGAAAATAAGTAATTTATAGTACCTAATGAATTAAACTACAATAATTAAATAAATTAAGCAAAACACGTACCCTAGTGTAGGGCTGTGCATGAAGTTATATAAAGCAACATCGAAGACCCAAAAAAAAAACAACAAAAAAAGTAATGTCGTTGACTTGATCAAGTGCTAACCTAGTTCGACACCGAATATTTTAATATGGAAACTTTTTTTTTCCCCTCTTGTTTTCCCAGCATTACGTGATACATGCATTTTGCTTTGAATTTTTGTAAACAAACCAACATTGAAATAAATTCTATAAATATAAAACGAATAAATATACTTTACGGTATTCATAAATTTTTCTGGTTGCCAACCATAATGTTGCCGCTAGGTGACTGCAAAAACTAAAAGTAGTTACTTTGACTAGTTACTATTTTTATTGTTTAATCTTGTGGGTCAAATATATAGAATGAGTTCTCATGACTACTATATATGTATATATAATATTTGATATAAAAGCAAAGCATAACATGTTCCCCAATTAATTGGGCAAAATGACTTGCATTTGTTATTGCTTTTATCCTAAGTATGCTACTCATTATGAGAAATAAGAAACAACGGGAATATAGTAAATAAAATAAAAAACTTTAGCAAACAAAGTATTTGGCCTTATTGATAGAAAGATAGAAGATTGTCGCAACGCATTATGTGACACCCAATTTGGACATTGCGTGGCCTTTCAACTTGGCAAGTTGGCAATTGAATGTAGCCCTACCCTATATAATTACCATGACGAAATAAAAAAGACATGGATAGATTTTAGCAACTAAAAAAAAATACTGCTCAGCCAAAAAAAAAAAAAAAAACTAGAAGTTATGAAAATATGGTACAAGAGAGGAAACGAGAGTGAGAGATAAACGAATGAGTGTTTGCCGAAGTTCTGATACTGTCTCTACGTGTGTCGACTAACTCTCGGCCCTAAAAATTGATCTTTGGGCTTGTCTCGTCAAGGCTCTTCTATGGTGGTGGCAGTGTGTCGTGAGATGACTTGGTTAATTAGGACGGATCGGACATTGTTTGGAAGTTAAAAAACCGGATGTTTGAGAAGGGTTTTTTGGCGCCTTCAACATTAGGAGGCTAAGTCCTTTCGGAGGCTTTTTCCTGGCGGTGGTAGGCTTCCTTTGGCAGGGGTGCTGTCATCTTCAGAGGATGGTAGCAATGGCGAGTGCGAATCATTTGCTTCCGTTTGATTGTCTGATCTATCAGGCTATGCCGCTTGTCTTTTGAAGCCTTCTTTCTTTTCTTATGGTCCTCTAACTGACAGTGGTGTCGTCGGAGGCTTATGCCAGTGATGCTTTGGGTTTTCTTTTTGTTTTGGTGTGTGCTCACATTGTTTTCGCCACTTTTTTTTAGTGTTGTTTTATAATAATGGGAGTGGTTTTCCTACCTTTCGATTTAGTTTGTGTGTCCCATCTGATCGAGTTGATTGTTAACATTGTGGGTGGTGATTTCCGTCCAAAGATCTCTCTATGCCTTATTTTTTTGTGTCCCTTTCATTTGGGGTTTGGTCCCTGTTGTCTAGATTGTTAGTCCATCGATTGATAAGATCATCTCTACGAAGCTTTGATCATGCTCGATATTTTGTGCCGAATGAGTCTTTTCTCATTAAGTCTCGATACTTATTTTTATCATTGTGTTTGCGATAATTGTCTAGTTGATCTAATTATTCAGGGTCGAACTCCCTTATATTTAAGGTCTTTTGTGACTTTGATTCGAGTTTGTATATCTTTTTGTTGAAGTGAAATTTCTCCTTAAAAAATATACAAAATGCTTTTGAATATAATACAATTTAAGATACAAATTTTAGAAAATGCGTACTACTAGGAAAATAATAAAGTCAATACTTGAATATAAATCCTTCCAGCCGAAAAAAAAAGGAGGAAAAATAGTGTATGAATCATACTTGAATTTAAAAAACTTATACATTTTTTTTTTTTTGAGAGCTTAGAAGTAACTTTCATTAGATTGCAAAAATTCTTACAAAAAGACCAAAGGCAATAGGAAAATAAAGAAAGAATCTTTACCAGAAAAGGGTCTAAGCAAACAACTCCCGTGATGATTGCTGCAGGGCAGATGGAAGTGACGAATCGTGTAATATATATTGGGGAAAAGAAAAAACAAAAGGAAAAAAATAAAAAAGTAGAGATAGAAAAGAAAAGCAAAAAAGGAAAAGGAAAGAAAAAAGTATGCCCATATATAAAGCCACAAAAATTTACATGTATATATATGCTCTCCCCAAAATTCCCACATAATAAATAATAAGAATAATAATTGGGAAGAATAGATTAAGAGAAGAAGGATACGAGTGAGATTTGCGGGAGTAGAAGGGGACAGAATAGACATCCGCCCGGAAATACAGGGTGCTTCGTACAGTCGAAGAACCAAAACCCATTTTCTCTCTCCTTCTCTCTCTCTCTCTCTTATGTTCTGTCTCATGATAATTTATAATAATATTCTATTATAATAATAAGAAAATGGGATATTGGAATTTTTTAATTAATTAACTAACAAAGGCCACTGCTGTACTGTATACATTCAATCTCTCCTTCTCTTTCTTCTCTTTCTCGCTGAACAGTCTTAATACTTATCTCACTATCTCACTAACAATAACAAGTAACAACACACACTCTTTTTTTTTTTTCTCTCTCTATCTGTCTTTCTCTTTCTCTGCCACACATCACACCCAGCAGTTGCAGCAAATTGCAGCAGAGGCTGCAGCACTGCTATGCTGCTGCAGCTCAGCGAGAAAAAGGAAAGCAAATTACCAAAAAGAAAAACAAAAAAGAAAAAGTGATATCACCCAGAAAAAGAGAGAGAGAGAGAATTAATTAGAGTTTTGTGTATATATATCTCGCCCGTTAGCTTGAGTTTTGGGGATTTTTTGTTATTAATTAAAAAATAAAAATAAAAACTTGCCCACATGTTTTTCAAAAGCTTTGATTTGATTTCTCTGCTGGTATTTCACGGAAAAGAGAGAGAAAGACAAGCGGGGTAAGGTAGAAGTGCCTTTTTTTGAGAGAGAGAGAGAGAGAGAGGGGTGAGCTTCTTTTTAGCCAAAAATGCAAAAGGCGCAATTAAAATGCAGGCAATGATCTCTCTCTCTCTCTCTCTCTCCTTCTATACACACAGATATATATATATATATATATATAAAGTCTGTATATCTATATACTGTCTTTAGTTACTATTCCAATATCCCAGTTCTACTGTTCTTTTGGCATTTCATTTCACTAAAAATTAAAGCTCCTCCGCAATAACCGCTTAACCAAACTCTTCTTCTTCTTCTTCCTTTATAAAGCAGAAGCTGAAGAAGGCGCTTCTTCATTTCTCCGGAGTATAAGTAACGATCACTGTCGTTTTTAGAGCTAGGGTTTTGAATCGGAATCCATGGCCGGCCTGATCGATCTCAACACGACCGAGGACGACGAAGCAGCGCCGCCGTCGTCCAATTCCTCGGCCTCCACGTCCTCCGCCGCCTCGGCGGCTCTGGATTCGTCGCCGACGTCTCCACTTCCGTCGCGGCCGGCGTCGGCGAAGACGTCGTCGGTGTGCTTGGAGCTGTGGCACGCGTGCGCGGGTCCACTGATTTCGCTGCCGAAGAAAGGGAGTGTGGTGGTGTACTTGCCTCAGGGACACTTGGAGCACGTCTCTGACTTCCCTGCTTCCTCGCTCTTCGATCTCCCTCCTCACCTCTTCTGTCGCGTTGCTGATGTCAAGCTCCATGTAAGCAAGCTCCGATGAATTTCTCTCCTTTTTCAAATTTTAAATAAAAGTATTTGTTTAAAGGTTTTTATAAATGTGTTTTTTAAGACATTGGTTAGTGTTTGGTTTCCTAGAAACTTGGGACAAAAGAATTGATTTTTTTTCATATAATTTATTTTTCTGGGTTTGGTTTAGGCGGAGGAAGGCACGGACGAGGTTTACGCACAGGTCTCGCTTGTTCCTGAGAACAAGGTAAGTTTTTTTTTTTTTTTTTTTTTTTCCACTTTCTGTTTGGTTGCCGAGAAAAATGCTGGGAATGCAAAACCAATTTTTTGCTTCACTAGTTGTAAGAGCCTGTTTCCTCTAATTAGCTTAATTCAGTGGACCATTTTATCTTTGTGACTTGCGAGCCTTGCGTGTTTTTGCCATTTGTGTTTTTCTTAGCAATGAAATAGGCAACGACCATGGTTTGATGTTAACTTATCTGTCGTGTTCTGTAATTTCATGGTGATATTTGGTGTGATGGTTTGTTCGGGACTGTTAAGCTGAATTCAGCTTTGTGTGCGTGCATTACTAGCAATTTGGGCAGAAATTGCGGGGAGGAGAAGTTGATGCTGATGGTGAAGAGGAGGATATTGATGCTGCTGTGAAGTCCACAACACCCCACATGTTCTGCAAGACCCTGACAGCTTCGGACACTAGCACTCACGGCGGTTTCTCCGTCCCTCGCCGTGCTGCTGAAGACTGCTTCCCTCCTCTGGTAATGATAGTTCTAGTTCGTTGATTGTGTTGCTCAATGTAGTTTATTTGACCAGTTTGTGGCTTTCTGTCACTTGAAAATGTAAATTTTGGCTAGTGTGTGTGGATTGTGAGGTGTTAAGTACAACTTTTTATTGCGTATTTGATAGATTGCTATTTTTAGGATTACAATCAACAAAGGCCTTCACAAGAGCTAGTAGCAAAAGATCTGCATGGCCTCGAATGGAGGTTCCGGCATATCTACAGAGGTACACCTAAAGTAAAGTATATAGCAGAGACATTCTTATGCCTTTTCATCTTGTGGTATACATTACCACTAGTATATAAGATGGTCATTCTGATTGGAATATTATCTGTTAAAGTTTTAGCCTTACCTTTTGGTTGGAACTTGTAACAGGGCAACCACGGAGGCATTTGCTTACCACCGGATGGAGTGCCTTCGTGAACAAGAAGAAGCTCGTGTCGGGGGATGCTGTGCTCTTTCTTAGGTATTTAATCATTGCCTTGAAGAAACATGGCAGGTTCTTTTTTATGGTTCTACTTCTCATTTTATATCCATAATAGGGCTGAAGATGGAGAACTGAGATTAGGAATTCGAAGGGCTGCCCAAGTTAAAGGCTGTGCTACTTTTTCCACTCTGTACGGTCAGCAGTTGAATTATAGTTCTCTGAAAGATGTGGTTAATGCTATATCTACCAGAAGTGCTTTCAACCTCTTCTACAATCCAAGGTATTATGCTTTGTCATTCATTTACATTTTCTTCAACTTTATATATCCCCTCATCACTATTTGATGTTAATTTGCAATGCTGTATGTCTATATTGGCATGTAGATTGTCATATTAGGTCATTGCAATTGGGTTTCTTGTTTTATCTTTTCTAAACCAATGATGCTGGAGAAGTCATTGATGGTCTGAGCTGATACTTATAGGAATAATAGTCAATATCAAGACGGATGTGTTTACAAACTGATTATCATAGCATCATAATTAAGTCCTCATATTTAATACTAGCTCTACTCAATTTTTGTTGTGTTGTGTTCTACTTCTTTGTTACACATACTTCCATACATGCACCATATTGCATATGATATTATGTTGTCTTGTTTTATTCATTAGTATTAAGATTTTTGCTCCACAATTCTTCATTAGTATTAGGATTTTAACGTCTTTTCTTGATTCATGCTAACATTAGTTAAGTCCAGATAAGTACTTTGACCTTATTGCTTAAGATTGAGATAAAACTCAAAAAGTATTTGTTGAGTGGGATTCCAATATATAGTTTTCACAAAATGTGAACGGGTAAAACTTAGGTTCATAGATGATTAGTGCGCAGCAGAGTTTCTGAAAAGTGTACAGCAGAGGTCTATCTGCTTGATATAGCCATTTTCATTGGTTAGCTTCTTGCATGTTTACCATTTTTCACCGGAGTCCGCTGTGCAGAGACACATTTTGTTCATGCTTTTCTATTTTTCTGGTGATGAGTATTCCATGCTGATCTTGTAGAGCAAGCTCGTCAGCATTTATTGTCCCCCTCCGAAAGTTCCTGAAAAGCTTGGATCATTCGTTTTCTATTGGCATGAGGTTCAAAATGCGTTTTGAAACAGAAGATGCAGCCGAGCGAAGGTTGGGCTCACATGAATTTTGAATTCTTTAGTTAATATCTATATGATGAGAAGTCGTGATTATTTTTTTTTTCTTTTGGTAGATACACAGGACTAATAACTGGGATCAGTGACATGGATCCTGTTAGATGGCCTAATTCAAAGTGGAGATGTCTAGTGGTACGTGCTTACTATGAAGTTGCTTGATTCCCTTGAGCATTTTGGTGTAAAGGAAATGATTTGACATTTACACATGAGCTCTTAGCTACACAAATTTTTACATGCTTTGGATTATGATTTTGTGCATTTTCCTTATATAGACACCTGCTTTAATGATTTTACTGCATATGCGTCCTTAGGCCTTAAGGTTTTGGATCAGCCTGTGTAATTCATACGTTCTGTGTGTGTGATTAAAGATATAAATTACATGTTTTCTACCTTGTTCTAAATATTAATGTAATAAACGTGCTGGGTAAAACTCTTTCAGGTAAGATGGGATGATATAGACTCAAACAGGCATGGAAGAGTTTCTCCTTGGGAAATTGAACCGTCTGGTTCTGTTTCTAGTTCCACTAGCATTATGGCACCTGGTCTGAAGAGGACCAGGATTGCATTGACTTCAGCCAAAGGAGAATTTCCAGTTCCTAGTATAATTGCGTTAACTCTAGCTCTCTCTCTTTCTTGATCACATTTTGTTTTTTGGCAACATATTTACTGTCTTTATATTTCTTCTAACAGGTGGAATTGGTGCATCAGACTTTGGGGAACCTTTGAGGTTCCAGAAGGTCTTGCAAGGTCAAGAAATTTCCGGTTTTGATACCCCTTTTGATGGTATTGGGATTCAAGTTCAGCATCCATCTGAAAAAAGGAGGTGCTTTCCTGGTTCTAATTGTTCCGGGATTGCTGGAATTGGGAATAGTGTCAGGAACCTTCATGTTAATTCTGACAATATTACCTCCAATGGCATAGGCTTTGGAGAATCATTCAGATTCCATAAGGTCTTGCAAGGTCAAGAAATACATCCAAGCTCACCACGTGGAAGAGCCCCGACCTCTAATGAGGACAATGAATATGGTGGCCTAGGAATCTTTCATCGTGTTCAGGTGCCAAGCTCTAGAAATGGGTGGTCTGCTGTTATGCAGAGCAACACAGCACCTGTTCGCACGTCTGCCCAGTCCGTACAAGTGTCATCACCGTCGTCTGTGTTGATGTTCCAGCAAGCAAGTGCTGTTTCAAAGTTCAATTCAATGCCTAGTAATCATAATAAGGAGGAACGTAGAACTACAAACCGAAGTTCATACGTACCTCAATCATATGATGGAAAGTTTATGCCATTCCCATTCACTGATTCTGGCTTCGGAGTTGAGGATCATGGAGGCATGAAATATGTATATTCATCGGCTGACCGTAATCAACATGGCATTTCATATCCTGTTACAGCTCATCCAGCATTTAGGAGCAGTCAAGATGTAGCTTCCTCGTGCAAAAGTAGCTGTAGACTTTTTGGTTTCTCATTGACTGAGGAAAAAAATCTTCCAAATAACAAGAAAAGCTCAACTCCAGCTGCATCTTCATTGAGTCCTGGAGTTTCTTTATTTCCTAATGGAGGGCACTTGCATACAAAACCACCTCTGATGACAAAGCCAGTTGGAAGCAATTGTACCAAAGTAAGCGACTTCTATGCTGTAAAAGATGCACTTTTCGATATTGCATTGTAGTAGAAATCTTTTGTATGATAAGAAGTGCAGAATTAGGAGCAGAGGATTGTTAGACAGAATGATTATCTAATGTACAATTTGGGAGTGCCTGCATAATAGGAAATGGCTTTTGACTGGACTGGAGAAAGAATGGAGTATTGTTTGCGAGGATAGTGAATGACACGCTGCTTATCAGAGAGAGATCTATGGCAGTAAGTCGCATCCTGTACTGAATTCAATTATCTACGCTATTCTATTCTTTTTTTTTTTTTTTTGGCATCAAACTTGAGGTTTAGGTTCTTGAGATCCTCTGTCAGAAGCCATGAAACATTCTTGCTAGATACGTACCATGAGATGGAAATACGAAATTAACCGTTATCTGCATTCATGATTAATATTCCGTTATGATCAATTTTTTTTTTTTCTGTTCTGGCCATTTTATGCAAAGTAAATTATATTTTACTAATTGTTTGGACTTCAGAACATATGGATTGACCGTGCTTAAAACTATTGACAATATCTTGCAGGAACTAAAGTGGTACTGTCAAGAATTATGATTCGGTGAAGATGTTATCTAGGCGCTTGAGGCGGTGAAGATGAAGCCTTGAGATTGTCCATTAGTTGCTCAGAGTATGTGTGCACTTCATTAACTTAGGTTTCAAAGAAGAAATGTAATTACGCTTCAAGTAACTTGACATTGTCCTTTTTAACTTTTTAGCTATCGAAAAGAACAGTAGTATGTAATTTGAAGTCCCTCGTGATTGTCCTTGTTTGAAAGAGGGCCTATTTTCAAACTTCTTCCAGTTCTTTCTTTATAAAGAAATTGCTTATGGCAATTAGCAGACACTGCTCAAATTTGCCCCCTATGCATGAATTTGATTATCTTCAGGAACTGCATTCGACATACCACCAACCTTTATTCTTCTAAAATTCTTGGACCTGCTTCGAGTCCGAGACACGCGGTTTCGGATCACAAGCACTTCACCTCACTAAGGCCGAAATAAGCACTCTCCGAGTCGTTTGATCAAGGTATCATATGAAGAAAGGTGATTCATGAGCATGAATAGTACATCCATTTTTGCCATTAGGTGGTCCTTGGTTTGGGACCAACCAGATCATGTGGCCACTTGAGAAACTTCGTTGAGATTCAGATTTCAACAAGTAGTGGCCAAACGGCTGACTTTAGTATTCTCAGAAAGAATTTAGTACTAGATTTTTGCCCCTTGTTACATGCATTGCCCAGAAGATCAAGCATTATTATGGTCATGATTGGGACATGCAAATCTTTATCTACTGACCTACTGCATTATTATCTCAACATGACTTCTCAGTTCAAGCAATCGTCTCCTAAAGTCCATATGCATATTTGAATATTTAGGACCAGCAGAGAGGGGACCTCAGAAGAAATAGGAATTTTCTCTTTCTATATGTTCTCAAAGTCATTTTCTTACATCAACTGGGTTTCTAAAGTCTCTAGACCAACACTATCCAATTAAATGTGATGGGAAAGTGAGAAATCCATGTACTCGTTTATGTGTCGATTTTATTTTCCCCCCATAATTTAATGCTAGGCGTGGCTTCTACTGCAACAATCAACATGCATTTTCGCTTGAAACCAATTAATGCGATCGATTACTTTCTCAACACTAGTAATTATTTCAAGTTTCTTGGACGAATCAACAAAATATAACTCATGTGAGCTACTGAAGAAAGGCCACGCACATAGAGGAAAAGAATTTCGTAGCTGTCTCACTCCTACATCCATGTCACGTTCATGGGGTTTAAAAACCATGGTCCAATATGTTTGTCCCCACTTCTTTTCTCTAAATATTCATCATTCCTATTAAACATTTAAAAAATACTATTCTTAAAATATGAACGTAAAAGCGAAAATTAAGTTGCCAATGCCATAACCAAAAAAAAAGAAAGAAAAAAAAAACATAAATATGTGTGTGTGTGTATTAAGTTCATGGTGTTGGGGCTGCTCTATTTGGAAAGGTTAGGCGGCAGCACAGTGAATAAGGTTAGGCGGCAGCAAATCGTAGACAAATGAATATTTTGAGAGACGAGATGACTGTTAGTATGTGGGGGGCATTGGAAGCATATCGCAATCGGTAGTTACATATTTGTTTCGCAATTTCGACTACCTTATATGTTTTACAATACTTTGTAATGCTAAACTTATGGACGTTTTTTAGTTATTTATGAATGTAAGTGTGTTATGTGTAGTCTTTCTTTAAAAAAAATCCACGTTAATACTTACAAAAATTGGAGTTATGTTTTTGTCAAAGTGAACACAAAATTCAAGTTCAACAATCACAAATTGTCCAAGTGAGCACACAACTTAAATTTCAAACACAATTCCAATTTTTTAACTCCAATATCAAATTTCAAACTATTGAAAAGAACACATCCTAAGTTCATGGTGATGGGGCTGCTCTATTTGGAAAGGTTAGGCGGCAGCACAGTGAATAACGTTGGGCGGCAGATATATATAATCAAACGTCGGTGTCAGACTTAAAAATTAGCAGCAAAATTGTATAATCACTTATCACTCAACGAGAAAAACGTGTTACGTTTAACGTCAGAATGTGTAGAATCCAAAAAAAAAAAAAAAAAAAAAAAAAAAAAAAAATTTTAAAAAAAAAAAAAAAAAAAAAAAAAAAAAAAAAAAAAACATCTTAAACCATAAAAATTTCGCGAAGCCTGTGTAAAATTTGTGTATTATTGAGATCCTTTTGTCGCACACACGAAGCTTTGCTTTTGGTGCACACGGTATTCCCTAATTTCCTTTTTCACAAGCAAATTGAAGTAATGGTGGACACATGATATATATTTAGGAGTTTTTTTTTTTATAAGACCACAACAGCGTATTTTTTTTTAATCTGATTTGATGTTGATAAGATTTACCTCCCTTGACACGTTACTTTACAACCACCAGTAATACAGCGGACCCGTCTCTGTGGCTGCCACGAAGGGAGTATTGAGAATTCTAAAATCACTTTTTTATCCTTATATACAAGTTGTGATTGAATGACCGCCGCTTAAAGGAAACTGGTTGAAGACTTTTGAAGTTGGCCGTAATTTCTTACCAACTTCAGAATATTGAGTGTGTGTGTGTGTGTTTTTTTTCAAATCTTCTCATCACCTTGAAGTTTAAAAAATGTTTAAAAGAGAATTAAGCGGTTCCTATAGAGGAAAAAAAAAAAAAAACCCTCCTTTTGTCTTAGGGCCCGTTTAGTTCACTAATTTGAGTTTTTAATTTGAATTGAAATGTGACTTTATGTTAGAGCTTTTTACTGTAGCAAAAAAGGTTGAATGTGACTGTTTCTGAGAGATTTTTACTGTAGCAAAACTCAAATTTTAAACTCAAATTGATAAAATAAACGGAGTCTTAATTTATTGAAAACTGAACCCCCAGTTTTTTGTATTTTGTTTTCTTTTTGTTTTTCTTTCTTGAAAAATGAAAAGGACTCCTCTAGTACTTTTACAAAGATAAAAATGCCTCCATCCCTTACCGATGGTACATACATGACAATCGAAATTAGAAGCATTTGTTAAAATATCTTGGGGGAAACTACTTTTCCCAAAAAGGGTCAAAGAAAATGTCTATTATTATTATTATTTTTTTTTGAAACAAAGAAACCAATGCATCCAAAGACAATGACATCATCAACGTTCATAGTTAGAAAAGCAGTCTTCTTAGGTTATCATATAATAAAAACAATATGTTAAAATTTTGGTGGGTAATATATGCTTTGTTGGATTGGATTGGACATTGATTGATTCGATTCCAAGAAGGTGCTTCAGTTGAATCAACTCGTTTGTCCATATTTGCCTCTTTCACACGTAACATAAACATTTTGAGAACGGCTTGTAGGGTCAAACATGGCGCACTCAACAAAGAAAAAAAACAAAAAAACAAAAAAACCTCCAAGTATATGGCTCCACCCACGGGCACTATATATAAAGCTTGCCCATACATACATATTCCTCTATTTTCATCCACACAAACATCATTATTGTTGTTCCTCATGATCAGCAGAACTTATAGAAGATTTTGAGGACAATAAAAATAAATAATTAACATTAATATGGCTGGGGAAAATGTCTTGGAAAGAACACTTGAAACAACATCAACATGGGCTGTGGCAACAGTTTGCCTCATTTTGATTCTTGTTTCTATTTCCATTGAGCATCTTCTTCATCTTCTAGCCAAGGTATATTTAGTTAATAATTTTCGCGGCGTGTAAATCATTAATTAACTGCAATACTTAGTTGGAATTTGTGAAGTTTCTTTCTCTAATCTCAGTTCAAAATTAGGCTGCAATAATGCTTGGAAGTGAAATACAATTTTGTGATGCATGCAGTATTTCAAAAAGAAAAGGAGGAGGTCTCTCATTCAGGCTCTTGACAAGATCAAATCAGGTGAGTTTACCAAGCATCACCACAAAAAAAAAAAAAAAGAAAAAAAAAAGAGGGAAAATGAACTTTTGGGTTATATTCAATCAATATAATCACTTTGTCTCTGAATATTGCAGAATTGATACTTTTGGGTTTCATCTCATTGTTGCTAACTGTGAGCGAAAAGTCAATTGCAAACATATGTATTCCAAAAAGTGTTGGAGAAACTTTTCTTCCTTGTGGCAGCTTGACCTCAGATGAGGAAGAAGAGGAAACTAAGTGCGCAAAGCAGGTAGTTATTGAATTAATTACCTTAATTGATTATATTGTAGTAGAACTTAATTTGATTATTGGGTTCTAATTGTAATTAGTTTGCAAATTGTTACTTAAAACAGGACAAGGTTTCATTGTTGTCAAGGAAGGGTGTGCAGCAGCTACAGTACTTGATCTTTGTGTTGGCAGTCTTCCATGTCTTCTCTTCTGTCCTCACTTTTGCTCTCGGCGTGGCCAAGGTAAGTATTGTCATTAAAAGTTGCTTTTTGGGCACTCGTGTAATTTCACTTTGGTTGATAGATGACGCCTCGTTCACTTTGCAGATTCGAGTTTTCAATTCGAGTTGAGATGTGATATTTTCTGAGAGCTTTTCACTGTAGCAAAAAAAAAGTTAAATGTGACATTTTCTAAGAATTTTTTACTGTAAAAACCTAAAACTGAAAACTCGAATCGGTGAAATGAACGAGGCCGAAATCTTTTTTTTTTTTTTGTCTGTTTCTGTGGGGGCATTTTCTCTTAAGTAGATGAATTATTTCCACAGTGTTGATTAATTATGAACTTCTAGAGACACCTGTGAGGGAGGTTTTTCATGGAATATGGGGAAGTTGGACTTGGCCATTGCCAAAATTGGCTTTTTCTGTTCTTGAGGGGAGAACAAAACAAGCTAAAGGCAATTTGGATTTTTTTGTTTTTATAATTTTATATACTGTATGCATTTTGTGAATTTGAATAATAAGAATATATCTTTGCAGATGAGAAGATGGGAATCTTGGGAGGCAGAAACCAGAACATTCGAGTATCAATTTTCTAACGGTAAGCATTGAGGGCTAATAATCTGGTCTAGTCTTGATTTCAAGTACATTTTGTTGGACCCTCCTCTTAATTATTCAATTAATTAACCTTTTTGATGAAAAAAATGATAAAAATAGCTTAAAGTTGAGGGACCGACATATAAAAATGATCATTTGCCACATAGATCGCAATTTATTTAATATGCCACCTGCAAATTGTGTCCTAGTCAAAATGCATGGTCCTCTTAATTATGGTCGGCTGAAAATCTTCGGCTTGCACAAGTTAGATAGGGCCATAGTTTATATTAGAATAGTAGAGAAGAAAGAAAAGGAGGGTCAAACTTCTACAGGCTTCAAACTTAATTATAAGTTATTAAATAAGTTATTAAATAAACTTCAAACTTATTCGGAAAAGAAAAATGATATTATGTAAGTTAAATAAGTTGCATTTCATGTTTAGAAAATGGCACAATTACAATATTGGACATGCTAATAAAGTATACATATTTGGAAGACTAAAATGTCTGCATGAATTTTTTTTAAATGCTTATATTAATTTTATAATTTTCACTCCACGATAGTAATTTGCATTTTTTTTTTTTTTTTTTGCATATTTCGAAGGATTGAAACAGTCTGATATCATTGTTCCCTTTGCATCTAAAGTAACTGAACTGAAATCTATTGATTAAAAATATATATAACTTTACCGATAGTAATTTGCATTTTTTTTTTTTTTTTTTTTGCATATTTCGAAGGATTGAAACAGTCTGATATCATTGTTCCCTTTGCATCTAAAGTAACTGAACTGAAATCTATTGATTAAAAATATATATAACTTTAACAAATGATTGTTTATTTCTCCTTATTTTCTGGTGAATTTATTTCTTCCCTTCAGATAATTAGTCTTGTTACTAATTATAATCTTTGCGCTTTACATCAATCAGATCCACGAAGGTTTAAGCTAATCCATCAAACTTCATTCGGAAAGCGGCATTTGAAATATTGGAGCGATCTTCGAATTCTCCGGTGGCTGGTAATTAATCAAGTTCAACGAAAAAAAAAAAGAAGCTATTACCAACTTCTAAAGTATGTTTATTTAGCATAAGAAAGTTTAATACTGCTGTCTTTAATTGTCACTGCATATATATATATATATATATGTTTATTGCAGGTCAGTTTTCTTCGGCAATTCTACAACTCTGTATCCAAAGTGGACTATTTAACTCTTAGACATGGATTCATAACGGTACTACATATCAATTTCACCAATTAGTTTAAAAGTAACATTCTTCAGCTATTTTATATTATTAATTTCTGTTATTCCACTATCTTTTAGGCACATTTATTAGAAGGAAGCAACTTTGATTTCCAAAAATATATAAGAAGGGCCTTGGAGAAAGATTTTGGTGTGGTTGTGGGGATAAGGTAAGCATACCAAACATACTATATATTTTGCATGGTGTAATTTAAACATAGAACAATAGACAAAATAATAATTGAAATCCCTTTTTTCTTCTTTCTTTTTGCAGTTGGTGGATCTGGATCTTCTCTGTGTTATTTTTATTCTTCAATGCTCATGGTAACTTTAATTTCAATGATTTCTAATTACATAAAAATAAGTCCAAGTCAAAAGTAGCAAGTACCATTCAAAGAGCGTTGCTATAAGGCACCGGTAGTGCTAAGCACCATCTACTAATAGAAGATGAATCATGCAATGAGGGGTCCACCTTTTATTAGTGATGAAACTTAGCACCAATGGTGCCCCTAATCATGTTTCTTACTCAAATGACGACTTCAATATTTTTCCACATCTTGCAGGATTTCACAATTATCTATGGCTTCCCTTTATTCCATTGGTGGTAAGAATATTAAACCAATATTTCCTTTATGTACTAACTAAGACATACAATATTGCTTCACTAGCTAGTGGTTTATTGTTGCGGATAATAAGCTATATTTATATGTTTTGGTTTTACAGATGCTTTTGGTGGTGGGAACTAAGCTACAAGGTATCATAACTAAGATGAGCTTAGACAGCCATGATAAAGCTCAAGTTATAAGAGGAACTTTTCTAGTGAGGCCTAGTGACCACTTTTTCTGGCTCGGCAGGCCCAAATTACTTCTACATCTTATGCACTTTATATTGTTTCAGGTAATTTCTAGCCATAATCTTTTGTTTCGCGGTCAAAGTGAACTATAATCCTTTGCAAGGCTTTTAAAGTGAACTAATAACCTAATTTTCTAAATGAGCTTTTGTCTGTCTTAGTTTTGTTTTGCTTTTCAAACATTTTAACTCCAAGGAAACAAAACTTAGTAGACTAATTGTTACTAATTTGGTAAGAAAATTGTATAATAGGATCCAGACACATAAATATATGATCATTCTAATAGAACCAATGCAATGCAATCGGCTTTTGCAGAATTCTTTTCAACTGGCATTCTTCACATGGACCTGGGTAAGAATTATATTTTAGCTTTTCATTCTCAATTTACATATACCAAATAAACATATATATATATATTTTCCATTTCTAACTTAGTCTCAAATTAAAAATACAGTACAAATTTGGCTTTAGATCATGCTTCCATAAGGAAACAAAAGACATCGTCATAAGGCTGTCCATGGGTGCAATTATACAAATACTTTGTGGCTACGTAACAATGCCTCTTTATGCTCTTGTCACACAGGTACGTACTCCAAAACTACAACTTATAATATAACTAATTACTAATCATAGAAAAAACACATATCTATTTTTGAGGTAATCAGGAAGAAAAAAAAAAAAAGTAACAAAAACTCGCACGAATTGTCCTAATTAATCCCTCTTATTTTTATAAATGGACAAAAGTGCCCTTATGTTGTGTAACACATGACAATTTATGTACGTACAAACCCCAACATATATATCGTTTTATCAATTTTGCTATACATTACATGACTACGATAGAATTTTTGTGTTTCGACAAGTTAGAGGGTCTATTTTCCGAGGGGAAAAAAAAAACTCGAGACTCCAGTTTTCAAGAATATACCGGAGAATTAAGGCCCCGTTCATTTCACCGATTCGAGTTTAGAATTCGAGTTTTACAACAGTAAAAAGCTCTCAGAAACAGTCACATCTAATTTTTTTGTTACAGTAAAAAAACTCTCACATAAAGTCACATCTCAACTCGAATTAAGAGCTCGAATCAGCGAACTGAATGAGCCCTAAGTGTTTGTTTGCAGAAGAAGTAAAAAAGAAGAAATTATTAATCCAAAATGAATAATATTATGTGACTAATTGATGATGCATTGCAACTTCCATAAACAGATGGGAACGTCAATGAAGAAAGCAGTGTTCACGGAGGGTGTTGTGCAAGGATTAAAAAGATGGAGGAGAAAAGCCAGGAAGAATATTCTGGCTAATTTGAGGAACACCACCTGGCAAGAAGGGCGTCCCTCACTGGATGCTTCCCTGATCGACACTAATTCCATCGGAACTTCGCCGTCTTTCGGTACTCTTGACGCCTCTTTTTCCGTCGATGCTGAATCGTTTGCGGTCGAAATTGTGGAGGAAGATGATGATCAGAACATTAGAGATCGTGAATACGACTCATCAGAATCAGATCAAGAGCGCCGTCAGATCAAGATGAGCTCGTTTGATGGATTTCGCTTGAGCCATAGATATAGTAGTGATTAATTAATTCTTTTTTTTTTTTTTTTTGTTCTGTTTTTGACAAAATATATATAGAGGCTGTACAGTTATGTATTGCGATTGTTTTTTGTATGTATTAATTTTCCGTACGCATGTATATGTAAGCATGATCGATTTTTGATACTAATGACTAAAGGATCTTAACTAAGTTTCGATGAAATATATTTTAGTATAGTTAATTTGTTTGGATTATCGTTTTGGACTTTCGGCTGATTCCTAACTAATATTAATTCGATCATGAAAGTCTTAATTTGTTGCTTTGTAATTTTCTTGAATATTCTTTTGAATCATGTCATGATTTTCTATTCATGTCTGACGTGTGCCAAACATTTCACGTTTTTTTTGCTTGGATATCTTAGATCCTTGTAAAAGAAAAGGAAGATATGCTAAGATCGCATTCCCATACACGTACACATGACCGAATAAGTACGTTTCACACGTTCAATCCATTTTCCCAAGCTCAAAAAAAAACAAAAAAACAAAAAAACAAAACTGTTATTAGAAGAGAAGAGTAAATTGCAACCTGTACATGAGTTGATCAATTAACCCTTTAGGAAGGTAAAAAAAAAAAAAAAAAAAAAAAAAAGAGTTGATCGATTAACCGTTATAGTTTATCTTTCTTAAAAAAAAAACAAAAAACAAAAAGGTAAATTAACGGTTAATATAGCAGGTCTTATAAGTAAGATCATCAATTCGGATTTTCCATCTTCATAGACTAACTTTGGTTAGGAAAATCTTCAAATTAAGGCATGAAGCTTTATATATATATATATTATCTTTGTCCAAATCTAATTTCTTGGAACCATAAAGGAAAGTGGGGAAGAAGTTGTGGAATAACAAATTATAGATTCCTTATTAAGTGCTGTCACCTCAGCCGGCCGGCAAGAAAATATTTGACTTATTAGCTGGAAAAGCGAGACCAAGATAAAGCACGTTAATTTTATGTTTAATCGCTAGAGGTTTGTATGTTTGCATAAATCTGATGTACTTGAAGACTTTAATACGGAACTATATTGTTCGTCAAATCATATATAGATACCAAATAATAGAAAAAACATTTGGACAGACCCGTGTTAAGCATCATAACTAATGAAAGATAGAGTGAGATTCAGATTCTATTAGTGTCATGTGATGCTTAACACTACTAGCACCTTATAATATTATTCCAAATATTGTGGTATTTTGTTAAAATATACGTAATTGGTGATTAAATAATTTTTTTTTTTTTTAGAAAATAAGTTGCACGTAGTGTTTAATCAATTTCGTATTGAGAAGTGTTGATAAGTTATCCTTTGAAGTACATATTAATAAGTTAGTATTGATTTAGAATGTAATTACATTATTATTATCTTCGTTACGTAAGGAAATCAATTCACATTTTTTTTTTTTTTGATAACTTTGTGGCTGCAAGATGAACACACACGTGACATACCTCAGGGACAACGCATTAATCATTTAATTATCCTATTATTTTCACTAATGAGGCCTAGAACTTGATGTGATTTTCATGTGGAAGACTTTTGCCGTTGATATCTATTTAGCTTATATGTGTGAGTTCAAAAATTGCAGGGAGAAATCAAGTGTCAATTAGTACTATTTACTACATGAAAATAAAGATAATGATTCTTAGTCTTCACGTCAAGCACAATGATTATGACAAAATGAGAAGGCTTATACGTAATGTGGTTTTTCAAATTGGTTAATTTCCCGATTAGAGATCCAAGATGGAGCACAGGAATCATCCATATGTACTTTAACGCATTGGGTTGTCCAGTGGAGCTAATTAATGGAATACATTAATTATAAGCTAATCTTCCACAAAGAAACAGTGAAAAGTTTGTTTCTTTTACTAACAATTGCGTGGTTTTTTCACTTTTAGCCGAAAGCAATGTATGAATTACGAAGTAAAGAAAGAAGTCTCCGTTTCACCTTTTTTTTTTCCCCTTGGCAGTAGGAAAAGGCAAAATGATTAATTGCATGGTAATCTCTGTTAGTAATGATATGGATAATACAAATAATAATAATAATATATAACAATTTATTGTAAAAACAAAATATAAAAATTGTTACAACACAAATTCAATATTTCTAACGTCTGTCTCCCAGGATATAATGAAAACGACGGTAGAACGATGCACTATCAGAACCGTCTCAGCGAACTAGAATTGTATCTTTCCTCTATCACCAAAAATACACAACAAAGGAAAAACGCACAAAGAACTCAAAAAAACTAAAGAGAAGCCGAGGGAGAGGAGAAGAGAATTCTCAAAATTGGCGTGTATTTGTTCATGTTGGTTAATGCTACAGTTTTTTCAAAACCCTGCACTAATGCAGAGTTAATCATCCACTAATGCAACAGTTTCGGATTTCAGTTGGAAAAAATAAAAAGAAAAATTGCAAAATAAAGCTTGCACAGAGCAGGTTTTTCGATCCGGCATTCGTGTCCACAGGTCGCGGATGCACACATTGGGCCCCTAACTTGCTGGGACCGTGATTCACACCCCCTACGCATGAGAGAGCATCTCTGGTATACATGCTTACCTAGGCTTCAAAGTGTAATCAGTTATAAACACTACTAAGGCTTCATTCCTAGCTAATGTGGGATTTTTGTAATTTCTAACTATCTTAACCATACCAAGTGACATACTTAGAACATCAATTTCTCATTCACCCAACATCCATTTTGAGTGCATGAATATTTGATTTCGATCTCTTTGCAACGGAAAACACAAATCCATCGAGACCCGTCCTAAAATCTAATTGAACCCCTTATAAAATGGGCCTCAAAATGAGCCTTTAATAAGGCTTAACAAGCCATTTTCTAACAATCTCCACATTCTAGGGATTTCTTAGCCAGCTAAAAGTATGTTTGATTTGTTTTAGACAACTGATTCTCTTATTCTTATTTGATAAGAGAGCATCACTTTTTTTTTATTATTAACAAATTGCCGGACATCTATCTATTTAGGATGGACTGTCTAATTCGCAGTTAGTTGTTACAAATCTTCTGTTTGGTGTATATATATGTAGATGAGTTTTCAATAGTTATATTTTTGTCAATGATTATAATTATTAAATATAAAAATTCAATGACGCGACATAATAAGAATACAATCTTATTAATTGTCATAAAAGTTTTTAATTAACTATCTAATTTATTACATATCTGTGATCAATATTTTACACTTAAAATAACAACACACATTCATATAAAACCAATAAAACTTAATGAGCACCCAATTTAAAATGGTTGGAATATTAGGACCCGAAAGCTGGAGGAAAAAGTACATGACTATATGGATTTTTTTTTTCCGCCCCCTTCTTCTATATATGTTCGGTTAGCCTTACAACCGAAGGAATTAATTAGCAAAAAGGATAGTGTACATATGTGTAATTATATATATATATATATATATATATATATATATATATATGTTTTTTAAACACTCAATAAAAAAACAACAACGAGTGTC